GGTCACCCATTTTTGTCAGATCCCTTTGTAACTTTTCGCAGTCTGCTTTGACTCAACTACCTTAAGTAATTTTGTATCATCTGCCGACTTTGCCACCTCACTGTTTACCCCCTATTCCTGATCATTTAGGCATATGTTAAACAGCACTGGTCCCAGTATAGATCCTTGGGGGATCCTGGTACTTACCCTTCTCCATTGTGAAAACTGACCATTTATTCCTATCCTTTGTTTCCTATATTTTAACTGGTTATTGATCCATGTCTTATCTCTTATCTCATGACTGTTTAGTTTCCTTAAGAGACTTTAGTGTGGGACCTTGTCAAAGGCTTTCTGAAAGCCTAAGTACACTATATCCAGTGGATCATCCTTGTTGATAATAGATCGGCGAGGCATGATTTCCCTTTACAAGAGCTGTGTTGATTCTTCCCCCAACAAATCATGTTCGTCTGTGTCTGACAGTTTTGTTCTTTACTATAGTTTCAACCAATTTGCCTGGTACTGAAGTTACGCTTTGTCTGCAGTACAGCCTATGTCGCCAAAACTTACGTTGCTCTGGCCTGTGAATATTTCATCTCCCTGAGTGACAAAAGCATTAATGTGCACAGTGCTATGTCAGCAGGAGAGCTTCTTCCGCCACCCTAAGTTTCTGCCGCTCGTGGAGGTGGGTTTATTATGCTCTCTCTCCCATCGCATGTGGTGCAGTGGTGCAGACGTATTGGTACAACTTCAGCGCTGTACTTATCAACAAGCCCTTAGGGTTTACTGGCCTGTAATTGACAGGATTACAATGGGAGATGCTGCTGAGAGGGGTGTGTCCTAAGCCCCACCCCTCAGAGTTTGGTGTAGGAATGCACCTGTCTCTGGGATCCACACCTGGGAACCCCTCTCCTGGAGTCAGGCGGCTTAAACATCTAAGCTGTTTCTTGCACGATGTAGTTCTGCACTTGTCACTCCACACCAAACGTCCGGGGAGGAGGCAGCAGACCTTCTTCACCAAGGGCAAGTCATGTCTGACTAGCCTAATTGCCTTCTATGAGGAGATAACTGGCTCTGTGGATGAGGGGAAAGCAGTGGATGTGTTATTCCTTGATTTTAGCAAAGCTTTTGATACGGTCTCCCACAGTATTCTTGCCAGTAAGTTAAAGAACTATGGGCTGGATGAATGGACTATAAGGTGGATAGACAGCTGGCTAGATCGTTGGGCTCAACGGGTAGTGATCAACGGTTCCATGTCTAGTTGGCAGCCGGTTTCAAGCGGAGTGCCCCAAGGGTCGGTCCTGGGGCCGGTTTTGTTCAATATCTTCATTAATGATCTGGAGGATGGCATGGACTGCACTCTCAGCAAGTTTGCAGATGACACTAAACTGGGAGGAGTGGTAGATACACTGGAGGGTAGGGATAGGATACAGAGGGACCTAGACAAATTAGAGGATTGGGCCAAAAGAAACCTGATAATGTTCAACAAGGACAAGTGCAGAGTCCTGCACTTAGGACGGAAGAATCCCATTTACTGTTACAGACTAGGGACCGAGTGGCTAGGCAGCAGTTCTGAAGAAAAGGACCAAGGGGTTACAGTGGACGAGAAGCTGGATATGACTCGACAGTGTGCCCTTGTTGCCAAGAAGGCTAATGGCATTTTGGGCTGTATAAGTAGGGGCATTGCCAGCAGATTGAGGGACGTGATCATTCCCCTCTATTCGACATTGGTGAGGCCTGGAGTATTGTGTCCAGTTTTGGGCCCCACACTGCAAGAAGGATGTGGAAAAATTGGAAAGACAAATTGGGCAACAAAAATGATTAGGGGGCTGGAGCACATGACTTATGAGGAGAGGCTGAGGGAACTGGGATTGTTTAGTCTGCAGAAGAGAAGAGTAAGGGGGGATTTGATAGCTGCTTTCAACTACCTGAAAGGGGGTTCCAAAGAGGATGGATCTAGACTGTTCTCAATGGTACCAGATGACAGAACAAGGAGTAATGGTCTCAAGTTGCAGTGTGAGAGGTTTAGGTTGGATATTAGGAAAAACTTTTTCACTAGGAGGGTGGTGAAGCACTGGAATGGGTTACCTATGGAGGTGGTGGAATGTCCTTCCTTAGAGGTTTTTAAGGTCAGCCTTGACAAAGCCCTGGCTGGGATGATTTAGTTGGGATTAGGTCCTGCTTTGAGCAGGGGGTTGGACTAGATGACCTTCTGAGGTCCCTTCCAACCCTGATATTTTCTATGATAACGGTTAGCCTGGAGGAAGGGCGCTCACCTGGTAGGCGGGAAACCCCTGGTTCAAGTTCTCCCTCTGCCTGATGAGGAGAAGGGATTTGAACTGGAATCTCCCACCTCTCAAGAGGCAATTGTGACATTGCCATGAGCACTATCTGTGGAACAGCCTGAGAGGCATATGCAATGTATATAAATGTATCTGTGAGGACAGACTTCTCAGCCACCTGACCCTCCTAGACATTGGTTTTTGTTGCCTCAGGAACAAATTCAAACCCGACTGAACACCCTGAAGCAAGAGAGAGAAGAACTTCTGGAGTGGAAACAGGATGGAGAGAAGCAAAGCCAGGAATATCTGGTAGGTGCCCATTGTGATGGTCCAGCAGTTACATCAGTCAGGGTTGATATTTCTCTCTGTGGGGAGAGTGTCAACCCTGGTCTATACACAGCACTGCTTTGATTTAGCTATGGCGACATCTACATGGCACACCGCTGGGGGCGACCTGTAGGGTATCTGTAGCTACACAGCACAGTGAAAAGCAGGCTGTGTCCATGTTCAGCGGCGCCAACTTTCTCTGGCGCTGGTGGGTGCCCGTGCCCCCCCACCCCTTTCCACGCCCCTGGTCCTGCCCCCATTCCAACCCCATCGCCAAAGTCCCTGCCCTAACTCCGCCCCCTCCCTGCCCCTATTGGATCCCTTCCCCAAATCCGCACCCTGGCCCTGCCTCTTCCCCCAGCCCGCAGCGTTCCCCCTCCTCCCCTCTCCCTCCCTGCCCCACAAATCAGCTGTGTCACGGCGCAAGGGCTCGGAGGGAGGAGAAGCAGGACACAGTGGCTCGCTCACGGAGGGGGCGGAGGCAGAAGTGAGCTGGAGCGGGGGGGGAGGGTGAGGCAGGGCCACGGGGAGCTTCCGGTGGGTGCTCAGCACCCACCAATTTTTTTTTTTCTGTGGGTGCTCTGGCCCCGGAGCACCCATGGAGTCAGCACCTATATCCATGCTGTCATGTGTAGCTACATATGTGAATAAAAGACTCCAGCAGGGGGAGGCAGCAGAGCTGCTGGAGCCTATCCCTCCCCCCTCCCCCCAACCTTTCTGCTATTGGAAGACTCTAGATGATCAGCAGAATATACTAAGCCATTCAGACCTGAAAACTCATCATTTTAGAGATATTGGGTGACATTTTCAAAAGTGCCTAAGTGATTTTGGAGCCTAAGGTTTACAATTTTGCATGTTGCCAAGGGTCAGATACTGACAGGTATTTAGGAGCTTAAAATGCAGAGAGAGGCCTAGTGAGATTTTCAAAAGCAACTAAGTAGCACCTAATGTCCTCTGTAGTCAAGGGGAATTAGGCACCTAAGTGAAACTGAAAATCCCTCTAGGGGCTTATATGCATCTTTAGACACATAAATAGCTTTTAAAAGCAGCTCCTTATTCATTTTCTTTTTAAATGGGTTTCAGCTCCTAAATGATTTTGCTGTTTCTGAAAATTTACCCTAAGTTCTATTTTCAAAAGTCACTTTCAAAGAAACTTAGGCTCCTAAGCACCAAAAGTAACTTTGAAAATAGGAATTGGACTCCTAAGTCACCAAGGCACTTTGGAACATGTTAGTCTCTCAGCTGGCCTGAATGAATATCAGGCATGTTCTCCTGAAATCTCATCCGTATGTTTGTAGTAGGGTAATATGAAAAGAGGGCTCTAAGACTCTCCCCATGTCCCTGGTAGGCTGTCCAACTTTCTCATTTGTGAAAACCGGATGCTGAGCGCTGGAACCTGCCCCGTCCCATGCTCCGCCTCTTTCCCTTGAGGCCTCGCCCCCCACTCTTCTTTCCCCTCTCACTGTCGCTTGCTGCTCTCTCTATCTCCCTCCCCCTGCCAGCTGAGCAGGGCTCTAGGGGTAGAAGGGTGATTGGGGCAGGACAGGGGAGCTGCCCGTACTTTTCTCCCCCCAGAGCCATCCCTGAGTGCTCCTCCAGGCTCCCAGGAGCAACTGCTGCTCTTCCCACCACCTGGTGGTAGAAGACAGTTACTGTGAGTAACCGGACTTCTACTGCCAGGTTCCCTTTTCAACTGGACTTTCCGGTCGAAATCTGGACATCTGGCAACCCTAGTCCCTGACCTGTCCTTTTCCTGTTTGTCTCTTCATTACAGGGAAAGATAGAAGCTGAGAGGCAGAAGATTGTGTCTGAATTTGAGCAACTGCGGCAATTCCTGGAGGAACAAGAGCGACTCCTGCTGGCCCAACTGGAAGAGTTGGACAAGGAAATTGTGAAGATACAGGATGAAAATGTCACCAAACTGTCTGAGGAGATTTCCCGTCTCAGTGACTTGATCAGTGAGATAGAAGAGAAGTGTCAGCAGCCAACGAGTGAATTTCTGCAGGTGAGACAGTTAGAGACACCCAGATCCCTGCCCAGGGAAGGGAGAGATTCTGAGTGATTAACTTTGGAGTTTGAGCTCTGGTCAAGTGAAAAATTCTCTAAGTTCTTGGAGAGCTCCCACTCCACAGTGGAGACTGTCAGCGTGTCCTTTAGCAAAGTGAGGGAAAACAAAATTTGACACTTCTAATATTTCCAGTGTGGAAACAGTTTTGCTGTTTTAAAGGCAGATGTCTCAGGCCTTTTTGATACATCCTATGTAAGCCCCTTCATTTTCAGTTTAAACTAATTTTTACCAAAAATTCCTGGGTTTTACAAGAAGTATTATTCATTTTTTTTCTGATTTTCATCCTGCTTTTGTATCATTCAAATATATACAAAATAACTTGTTTTATTAGGAAAATACAATGCATTGCATGAGATCTCTGTATTCCAATAATATATTAGTCAGTGTGTGTATATACAAAGCTGCCTGCTTAAGTAAGAACGTATTGTTCTAGAACAGGGGTGGGCAAATGTTATGGCCCGAAGGCCACATTGGGGTTGCAAAACTGTATGAAGGCCCGGGTAAGGAAGGCTGTGCCTCCCCAAACAGCCTGGTCCCCGCCCCTTATCTGCCCCCTACCACTTCCTGCCCCCCGACTGCTCCCCTCTGAACCCCCAACCCCTCCAACTCCCCTGACCGTCCCCTCCCCAGGACCCCCCTGCCCCTAACTGCCCCCCCAGGACTCCCACACCTATCCAACCCTCTCCCCGTCCCCTGACTGCTCCCCCCTCCCCAGAACCTCTGCCCCATCCAACCGCCCCCTGCTCCCTGTCCCCTGACTGTCCCCTGGGACCCTCTGCCCCTTATCCAACCCCTTGGCCCCGGCCCCCTTACCATGCCACTCACAGCAGCATGTCTGGGAGCGGTGCCACATGGCCGGAGCCAGACATACTGCCCCGCTGCTCGACAGGAGTGCACAACCCCGCTGCCCAGAGCGCTGTCCGTGTGGCTGCAAGGCAGCGGCGACAGCAGGAGAGGGGCTGGGGGCTAGCCTCCCTGGCCAGGAGCTCAGTGGCCAGATGTGGCCCACGGGCCGTAGTTTGCCCAGCTCTCTTCTAGAAGATACACACAATAAACCAACAGGCAAGCACACAAGCTCTGAAGTGCATGTGCATCTCAACGTACTGATGAATCTCATGGCCATCACATACACATTTCAAACAGTTAGCAGACAATGGGTTAAAGATTTGATGCACTAAAATGGGAAGAAAATGAAAATCTGTATCAGAATACGTTTCAGAACGCAAGGCAGTATTCAAAAGGGTTAAAAAACAAAAACAGGAGCAAAGGATGAAGTAGAGTGTATGCGCTGCAAATGGGATGGCCCAATTATCAAATGTGAATATTTATAAGCCAATAGTTCTAAGTCTACACCAGTAAACTGTTTGTTCAAATGAAAAGTTTTATTTGGGGATTAGAGATCTATTGTTTTCTTAAACTCAGGGGCGGGCATTGTGTTTTAGTTCTGCAGCAAACCACAGTGATGAATGGAATTCAAAGCATTAATCTACTGAATACTTTTTTCCCATCTTTCCATCCACCAAAACAAACCCTGATATTTACTCAGAAAAATTAAGTGTTTTTGCACTGATTTTTCCCTGTTCTTGTTGTGGTAATAAACACTGATAAATTCCCAGGAAAAATTAAATAAAATAAAAACTGAAAACGAAGGACCCTAATGATATGGAAGCAATAAAAGGCACAACTCCAGTTTCTAGGAAGTGGGAGATTAGGAAAGCAAAGTTCTTTGCAGGGCCTATTAAGAAACGGGAATGAATCCAGCTTCCAGAATTGCTGACCAGAATTGCATACATGGAGAAAGGCAAACGCTCTGACACAGCAGTTGCATGTGGAAGTCGGATTCATGTGTCTGATCAGTCAGTTTGAGCAAGTACCGTTGGCACAGGCAAAATAGAATTTAGAAGGAGAAAACCCACAATCATGGTGCATGCTTAGGGGTCCCATTCCATCGAAGTCTGTGAATGGATTTTTAAAGGTGCAACTACAAAGAACTGCATCTAGAGCTCGACTAGGGATGGCCAAGTGAGTCATCCATCTCCAGAGCAGGAGCGATCCCCAGCTTGTGGCACGTGGGACTGAACTCTTTTCCCTCTCTTTCTGTCTTCTAGGACATCAAAAGCACCTGGAGCAGGTATGTAGCTCCTTTCTACTCCCCCTTACGCTTCATGATGTTGGAAGGGGATTGGACCCCTGGGGTCAGATTTTGCAGGGTATTTAGACACCTGACATGTAGCTAGGCACTTGGTGGAAAATTCCACAGCAGCTAAGCGAGTTAGGCACCTCCCATTGCAATCAGTGGCAGTTGGGAGCCTAGCTTGGTTAGGTGCTTTTCAAAATCCCAGGACCGACCTTTAAAAATCAGGCCTTAAGTGACTTGCCCAAGGTCACTCAGGGAGGCTGTGGCAGAGCAGGGAGTGGAATGTAGGTTTCCAGAGTCCTATAGCAAACCGTTAACTAGTGGAGCATCCTTTCCCACGAGATTATGCCCTTCTCTCTGAGGGGCAGCTTGTGGACCCCTACTCTCTAACTCCCATTTAAGGATCTAAGCATTTAAATACTCCAGAGAGGAGGGCAGTTGACTCTCCAGTGGGAGTTAGAGGCTCACAACAAGCCCACAAGAGAGCAGCCTCTGTAGCTCATTCTCACAAAAGAAAGAAAAGATTTAGAGGGTTTTTGTTTTTTTTCCCCTCTAGGTGTGAGAAGCTGAAGTTCGAGAAACCAGTGGCCGTGCCAGAGGACCTGAGAGAGAGAGTCAGCGTCTCTTCTCAAAGAAATGTTTGTCTACAGGAGGCTCTGAAGAAATTCAAAGGTAACTTAACAGTTATCTGGGTTCATGCTACGGTGATGGTACATCGAGATGTGCCTCTGACTGTGGAAGGAGATGGATTCTGGCCTATTAGTTCTCAGCTCGTCC